GAAAAGAGAGAAAATTGAGGAGATGAGAGGTAAATGACGAGGTAAAACAGTCCGTCTGGCGGAGACGAAAAAAAAAAAAAAAAAAAAAAAAAAAAAAAAAAAAAAAAAAAAAAAAAAAAAAAAAGTGCATCGCCATCCCGGATCCCGGAGCGGCCACTCAATGCCCAACCGGGAAGTATGGGAGAGAAGGACCGGGAAGCCCGCTCCAGCAATCATGGTACATCCCCTCCCTCCAGTTTCTCTTTCCGGATGGTCTCTGATCCTGCCATGAGCGTATTAATCTCTTTTCAGCTCATTCCGCCGGACTGAAAACCCTCCGAGCAGGGCTATATAAACCCTCTCCTCTCCCTCCTTTGTCTTCTTCTCTTCTTCCTTTTCTTATCCTTTTCATCAGTCAACCCTGCTTCGATTCAGTCTTCCTCTGCTGCTATCCCGCAAGTTATACATCTTCCTGTCTTACCTTATATATATCTTATCCTTTCTTCTGTTTCATATACCATCTCCGTCCATCACAATGGCTGCTACCCAGCGTTACCAACCTTCAGCTCTCCCCATCAATGTCCCCTCCAAAGCCCCCGCACCAGCTGGTCTCTACCCCATCGGCCGGGTAACTGGCTCTCCGCCAGATGTCGACAACACTAGTATGACGGCTGGTAGTCGAACCTCGGGAGGCTTTGGCTATAGCTCCGGGAGCGACTATGAATCCAGCAACGGATCGTACTCGGGTGTCGACGTTGTCGATGTTCTAAATGACCGCATGCAAGAGACTTTTGATCCCACTCCATTGGATAGGGGATTGGTAAAGCAAGCGCAAACGTGAGTGCCCTCACCATGTTCACTCTCTTGACGTTTATATTTGCCAGCATTGCTGTTCTCGGAATGAGAAGAGTTGTCTCATTGCGGTTGATCGAGTCGACGGCTAACCGGCATGAAAAACAGCTCCGGCCACCTCAACGCCAAGCAACGAGAACTCATGGAACTGCAAGCTCTCGCCCAGCGTCGTCTGAAAGGCGCTCGTTTGAACTTCTCAGAGGGCATCAAAGTCGCCCGCGAGACCAAGCGCGACCTTGAATGGACCCAGAAGCGTGTGAAGTGAGTTATGGCCAACTTGAATCTCTCCAGTTCTTCCCCCATTTTCTTCCATCTCTTCCGGCCATATAACATGATCGTCACTGGATTCCGCTCCGCCGATGGTATTCCGCCGCGCTCCGCTGTTGATGCCATTCTTGGCAGGCAGGCACTGTCCCACACGATTCAACGGCTGCCATATTGAGATTTGGCATTTGCTGACTGTATTACGTTTTGCAGTGCCTTGAAGACAAAAGCTGAAGCTGCACACCCGGAAGAATACAGACGAGCGTCGAAGAAGTACGCCTTCCACGATGACGACTACTGAGATTGCATTCGTTTCGACCAGACTTTTGTATATTTCATTTTTTTCTGTTGGTTTTATGACGGCGACGATTTCTCTTTTTCCAGCGTTTTTCAGCACAAAATCTTGGTTTTTTTTGGGGGAGTAATTCAGGATCATTGGACTGGGTCGTATTTTGCTCCTTTTTGGTCATTGTTTAGCAAGGGTATTGGGTATAGCGCTTTTTGCTTTTCGAATCGAAAAAACTCCTCTTTCACCATCTTCAACAATGTAGGTCGTCGTCTTAAGCGTGCAAAGGAAACAAACGACGTCCGGTTTAACTCGATTCAAATGTCTGGTTCGACCCACGCAGGAACCAGACATTCACTCGCGCTTAGACTTTAACGGGCGATCTCCCATCAGAATGCACAAGAATGTAAGAGTGTAGGTCAGTGTAGACATCCCGCATGTCACAGAGTAATGGTAGAGCACATGCACAACTCCCTGAAACACAGACGCTCAGATCCTTCCCCTTTTCCGGTTTGATTACTGTTGTTATTATTAGGATATCGCCCCACGCAGCCCTAATATTACGTACATGCTCTTGAATTATGAACAAACTCCTGAACAGTGCGGGATTTAATGGTCTCCAGAGCGCTGTACTCCGGAGTACTTTGCACATGACAGCATGATTGCCTGTGGAGCTTAATGCGAATTAAAACAAGATGATTGGCGATAATTGAGACAGCCCTAAGCGCTGAGAAGAAATAAAATGACAAAGGTCGTTGGGGATTTCAGATATACATCTCCTGGTCTGGTGGTTAAATGGAGGTAATTCATAACTTTAAGGACGGCGGCATGGCTGATATTAGAGCGAGAGCAAGTGGCCCGTGTCACTTGTATTAAAATTAGATAAATTACTGGGTGCTTTGGAAGCTTCTGTGTGGCTATTAAAGATCTAATTAGATTTTCAGGGGGCTACATCGGACTATCATTTCAAGGCACATACCCACCTCGAACTCTTGCGGACTATTCCATGTTGAGTACATATTATGATGTTATGACCATGAACAATTTATATGTGCATACACATTAGAGAGGAGATTTCCTTTTTTCCTTTTTATGTTCTCGTAATCCACGCTTTTTTTTTTTTTTTTTTTTTTTTTTTTTTTTTTTCTCTGGTTGTCGTTGCAGGCACCTAACCACATATATCATTGAAAATTAGTATTAAAATAACCATCGACCTGGCATCGTGATATCATATCTACAAAAACAAATTTATAAGCTGAACCATTCATCAAGCTGTTGCTGTAACCAGACACTTACCAATAGCTAACGACGAAAACATGGAATCTTCACCGGCTTCATTCCCGCCCAAGGATCCTCAATGAAGCTAGGCTGAAAATAGGCAGTGTCCCCATTCGGATTCCTGATACCGTCCGCCAATCTCGCCAGTTGATTCTTGTTGAGGAACGTGCCATTCGGGGCCGTGTATCCCTCCTGCTCATGCTGTCTGGAAACAGCCCGTTTGTCTGATTTCTTGTTGATGGTGGTCGAGAAACGGCGTTCAGCATCAGACTTGGGGGCTTTGAGGATGGGCTGGCTTGGCTTTTCCTCCAGGACTTGATCTGGATAGAATGGAATTAGTTGTTGCGCTTCAATATGCCCTATTGGCGCTTCAAACTCACCGGCGGAAGTAGATTCAGATGAACGCTGGGTATTCTTTCCTTTCTTTCCCTGCAGTGTATCGTCCTTGATCTCATCGGAATCAGCGGCGACGGCAGGTTTCCCCTCAGGTTGGCTGGCAGAGGAACCGAAAGAAGCACTTGAATGACTAGCAGGTACTTCTGTAGTATCGCCGTTGTTACTCTCAGTTTTTATTGGTTGACGCTCGATGGGCGTGTGCTCAGCCTTCTGGTAAACACGAGAATCCTCTATAGCTGTTTCGGGTTGCGAATTGGAACTGACAGTAGCAGACTGGATCTTTAACGGGCCAGCAATTGAAGCAACAGGGACATCTGAGGATATGGTCGGCGATTTTTCAGAGGTAGCAATAGCCGTGTTGCTACCCACCGTTTCCTTCAACTCTTCGGTAGAATCTACTGATACCTGGCAATCATGGAAGTCCTCTTCGCTCGTTCCAGGCTGCGAGTGAGAGCTGGCAACGGCACTTTGGCTTCTAGGGGAGCCAGTAGTCGATGGAACGGGAGTGCCTAAATCCTTGACAGCAGACTTCTCGCAGACAACAGTGCTCTCCTTCCACTCTTCAATAAAAGCAGAAACAGACGCCTGACGAGTATGAACGCTCTCCTCGCCCGTTGCAGATCGCAGATGAGAGCCAGCAGGTTTGGCTTGGCTTCCATAAGCGCGAGCAGCTGGAGCAGCCTGTTCACTCGAAAGTTTGACCAAATCCTTCGATCTAGCAGAGCTATCATTCTCCGCCTTCGATTTTCTGGCAGAACTGCAAACAGAGACCCCATGAGCTTGAGGGCTCTCCGCGTCTGTTTTGGGCAGGTGGGAGGCAACAGAAATCCTGTCTTGATCAACTGTTAAAGCAACAGGAGCGCTCGACCGCTTCATAGATGCCACCCTACTGTCCTTATTATCCACGGCCTTTACAGCCTCTCCAGTACAGACAGATGCAGACTTCTGGCGACCATGGCGGCCCCTCTTACTCTTCCCGGTCTGGGGCTGAGAACCGCCAGCAGTAACCGGCTGTTTTGTCGCTTCATCGGCGATGAAACCAGCGGGGGTAGAGCCAGCGGGAGCAGCAGATGAGCTTGCAATGTTTTTCAACTCACTCTCAGTGGAGACTGATCCAAATTTGGCGCGACGATGTGAGCCTTTTTTCCCCCCACGGCGAGAGCAAGAGCCAGAAAATGTAGCAAATTTGTCATTACTAGTCGACCTAGCATGTGTCTTTGAAGGATCAACGGATGGGTCAGTAGGAGCAGCAGTGCTATCCTTGCTAGCCTTGCTCGTTTCGACTTTGGTGGGGCTAGGTCCGGATCCCTGACGAGCACCGGATCCCTGACGAGCATAAGAATCCCTTCCGCCCTTTTTTGACTGAGATAAGCCCTTTGTTGGTTTGCTTTGATTGATAGTAGTTTCCTGACGGGCGGAATCAGTCGTCGTGTCAACCGCGCCAGAAGAGCCAGCCGACGGGCCTATAGTGCTGTCTTCAATTACCACCTTGCTCGATTCACCTTTAGTAGCGGTATTCTGGCTTTCAGCAGGACCAACAGTTGAAGCGATAAGGTGAGATTCAGAAGTAAGGGTTGTAGACACAGGATCATCCTTCTGTTCCTCAGATCCTTGGAGAGAATTGGAATCTTCCGATCGGAAACTGCCCTTTACTACCTCAGTATTAGTATCGGTAGTAAAATCAGCATTCTTGGTTTCAGAAGAGCCAAAATCCGAGGCACCAGGGCGGGTGTCAGAAGAAGCATATGAGCCCGTAGCAACAGTAGCATTCTGAGTAGCACTCGAAACCTTCTGTCCTCCTTCAATGAACTTGGATCCTTGACGAATGTGAACAACCTCTCCACCACTTCTGGGCTGACCCTTCATTCCTTTGGCGCTAGCAACAGGACCAGCATGCTGAACTTCAGAGGAGCCAGTAGTCGAGCCAGCAGGGTGAGTGTTAGGAGAACTAGCAGATGGGCCCACTGGAGCAGCAGTGATGACCATGCCACTCACGACCTTCTTCTGTCCGCCCTCAGTGGCACCAGATCCTTGACGAACAAAAGAGTCATTTCTAGCTCTTTCGCGATATGAGCGGCCCTTTATTCCCACAGCATTAGAACCGACGGGAGTAGTGGTATGACCAGCAGCCGGTTGACCCACGGATCGACCAGCAGCAGAGGCAGAAGTACTAGTAGGTCCAGTAGCACAGGTACCAGCGGCGGCAGTGGTAGCAGCAGTGCCACCGACATTGGAAGTAGTAGCACCAGAACCACTAGAGCTTTTCTCGCTACTGCCCACCACCTTCTGACCATCGTTGCCATCACGCTTATGTTCCTCATTTACCACAGCCTGAGCCTTCCACTCCTCAAAGATCGAAGATGTACGGTTACGACCCCTGCCGCGTCCGCGTCTTTTGTTCGTAGTCTGGATTCCCCGCCTTGGGCCGGCGGGAACGTGATTGTAATCGAAGTTAGCATTAGCGTTGGAGCTGGTGTTGGAATCAATGCTAGCATTGCCGTGGGCGTTGGCACTGTTGACTGTACCCTGACCTCGACCCTGACTTCGACCATGACCCTGACTTCGACCATGACCCTGACTTCGACCATGACCCTGAGGCTGGGGTTGGGGTTGGGACTGGTTATGGGTTTGAGCCTGAGTCTGGGCTTGAGCTCTCAAATAACCAGACGCACGAGTTCTTAGAGTCTCCGCTGGAACCCATTCTTCGAGAGCGCGGAACTCGCGTTCGGACATGGTTTTGGGGGAGGGTAGAGGGGAGGGTAGCGGTTGAGCGTTGGGATTGATTTGGGCCATAGTGGTTGGTTTGTGGATCTAGGGGTGGGTGTGAATGTAACTGATAGATTGGAGATGGACAAGAGATGACCAGGGATGGGAAATGAATGAAAAGTATAGTGATGGATGAAGGGAGAGAGTTGAAAGAAGTTGGGAGAAGGGCCGGGAGAGGAGATATATAAGAGGTAAAAGTACAATGAGTGAATGGAGAGCGTGGCAGATGAACCACACTCACCAACAAAACCACATCTTGATTTGATCGCCGTAGACAATACTGTAGATGCTGCCGACAATACTCTTTGTTTTTAATTGCACAAAACTAGGCTAATACCAAACTAGGCTACGTATATAGCAAGCCCTAATCCCATACATCGCTTATATACATGGATCAAGTGATATATTGTATCTCGTGGAGATCTAAGAGAAATCATCTAAACAGCCAAATCCATACAGCAAAATTCTTACTCAAAAATCCGCTCCTCCTCAATAGCCCGATTGACTACACGCACAAAACGTCCGACCTTGTCGACATCCTGCCTAGCTGTCTCAATACCCAGGAGCACCTTCTTAACGCCAACCCCGATCTTTCCATCATCAATGATACCACCGATTTCTTCCAGAGCCTGTGCAATCTCCTGAGCATTGAATGCCTCGGACTGTTCCATAACATACCGCAATTCATCGTACGTGTTGACGTTCGAGACCATGATGTCAGCATTGAATGAGTTGTACACGTCGAGGTTTTTCAGCACTGCGCGCTGCGTGGTGGTGGCCAGCACCAGAAGACGCCTGTCCTTGCTTGGCTGCTTTCTGAGAAAGACCATCAGGGTTTGCAGAACTGTGTTGCTGAAGCGGGGACCAATAGGGACCCAGTCGATAATTCGCTCGATGTTGTCAACGACGACAACACTGGTGCGACTCTTGTAGGCGTCTTCGAAGATCTTGCTGATATGGTGGACCTTGGCCATTTCATTGTATCCCACCATGTCCTCGGGGCTGATCAGCTTGATGAAGGGAAAGCCAGAGTCGATGGCGATCCGAGCTGCCAATGCCGTCTTTCCGCTTGCCGTAGGACCGTGCAGCAAAACGGAGAAGAGCGGCGTGGATTGCCCGACCTGCTTCACAAATAGTTCTCCTTCCCGCATGATCTCGTTAATAACAGGAGAGTAGTGAATGATGCCGTACTGGATGCGGCTGGAAAGTTCCTCTTCCGACACACCGAATGCCGGTTTGACTTCATCAAGAGCGTGATGGAAGTCGGCACGGTTGACCTTCATGTTCACAACATCGTCGCTGATGCTGGCCATCGTGCCAACCTTGACATGTCGCGAGAAGGCAAATGAGGACGCTGACTTCACGAGACCAGCAATTTCAGCACCTGAGAAGTTCTTGGTCATAAGCGATAGCTCCTCCAAGTCGACGTCATGGTCCATGACGCTATTGTCTCGCATTTTCTGGGTATGGATTTTCAAGATTTGACCACGTCCATGCTCGTCGGGTAGGGAGATTTCCATGTGCACTTCCAAACGACCAGGACGCAGCAAAGCTTCATCGATCATATCCATTCGGTTGGTCATACCGATGAGCAGAATGTTGTTGAGCTGGTCTACACCGTCAAGCTTAGAGAGAAGCTGGTTGACTACACTGTCCCCCACACCGGTGCCACCACCTCCACTACCACGCTGCTTGCATACAGCGTCCAATTCATCAAAGATGATAATGTGGAGCCCACTTTCCTCTCCCTTCTCTTTGTATTCCTTCTCCGCATCGGCGAAGAGCTTCCGGATGTTCTCTTCTGACTGACCAACAAATTTGTTCAATACCTCAGGACCGTTGATAATCTTCGGTTCTCTCGCATTTAACATTTTACCAATCTGCCGGGCAATTAAAGTTTTACCCGTTCCTGGAGGACCATAAAGCAGCATACCCTTAACGTGTTGGATACCCAACTTTTCGACAAGGCCCGGAGGGAAGATACGGGAAGCGAATGCACGACGGAAAATTGTGCTGAATTCTGAGTCGAGACCTCCAATACCCATGTTCTCGAACTTGAAGTCCGGTTGGATGATGGAGTTAGCCGCTGGCCGGCGAGCCGATGGCTTCATGTTGATACCGGTTCGTGCATCCTTGAAGAAGTTGAACTGAGTGTGCCTGGTCAGAATACCCCTCGCAGTGGGATCTGTCTCAACTTCCCCGCCGGAAAGGTCTGCCTTCTCTGAACTCAGGTCAACCCGCTGGACCGTCTTGACAGTCAACAAAAGCGGAATACTTCGGTGATCCATCAAGATCTTCTGACCAGGAGCAAATAATTGGTTTTCAAAGTTCTTAGCAACTGCATTACCCAGATCATCTTGGTCGTATGGCGTCTCAACTCTCTTTTTGCCGGCGAATCCTACTTCAATGTCTGTAGAGCCAAGGTAGGCCTGCCCACCTTGACTAAACGGATCGTAGATTTGCACGTCGACGGTATCCGTGAACGCAACCCCAGCCCATGTCCGCTGCGGATCCGACATACTGATGTGGCCCGGTTGAAAGTTGGGGTACGGTCGTGCGGAGAGGACGAAGAGGCCATTAACAAGGAGAAGGAGGTCAAGTCCGTCGCGTGTTGGAGGAAAATCCGAGGGTGACACTGCAACCCTACATAGTGTTAGATTCTAGTAATTGCAATGTAATAAGAGCACAACTCCTGAGATAGCTTACAGGTTCCCAAATGTATAATTGTTATCCGGGCTCTTTGCAGGCCGTAATGTCCAGTGACCACCTCCGGCCGGAGGCTTCGCTCCAATCGGCGGCCTAGACGGCATCGGCTGACCGTAAGATGGAGGTCCTTGACCAGGTACCGAATAGCCATCTCGTGAAGGAGGCCCTCCGTTCCTGGAACTGAAGGGATTCGAGTAATTGGTGCTGCGGTTAAACATCTTGCGTCATTCGATCCGTGGGTTCTTCAGGAAACACGGGATAATCTAATCAATAATATCCGCAGATGGGGAGAATATATGTATGTCTTTGTCGAAGATAGTTATCGAAAAGAATGAAAATAATGAAGTCCAACTCGTCAATGGAATTAGGCTGAAGCCACGCTGTCGCAATCAAGCTATTCTTTGGAACAGTAATCAGAAGACGCACGTTATCAGTGTAGTAAATATTACCGGGTGTAGCTGCGTTCCTGAAGAATAACTGAACGATTTGCAAAATGAGCTAGAAAATCAAGATAGTTCGAAATGTGGCGGAGAGAGCGTTGTTGGATAGATGGTTGCATACATGCTCTCCGCTCTCCGGCCCGCCACATGGAGCTCCCGTTTCCGCCGATCGGAGAAATCGGAACATAAATGATCCGTCTTATCAGTGCTGGACCCTTGACGTCGATAACCAAGAGCTGCTATCCATGTAATACGCCAGCTGACAACCTTCGAGATGCCGCTGTGAGTACCTCTTGTCCCTGCTTTATAAGGAAATCTATGCTGATCATATAATATAGCCACCTTCTGGGAAAGAAATCATGGAACGTGTACAATCCGGAGAACGTCGCCCGCGTCCGGCGCGACGAGGCGCAAGCCAAAGCGCGAGAAGAGGAGGAAGAGCGCCGCATGCAAGAAATCGATGCTGAACGCCGACTACAAATCCTACGAGGAGAGCGCCCATCTACCCCTCCCCCGCCACCAGCCTCACAACCATCCGCCGGGCAACACGAGAAGAGAAGTCGCAAGGACGAAGAACCTGGACGATTTAATCGCAAGCGGAGACGTCTCGCCGGCGAAGATGACACGGATCGTGATATTAGATTGGCAATGGAAGATGCACAACTCGCGGGCGGAAAAAGGGCGGAGCTAACTCGTTTGAAAACGAGTGATGCGCCGCTTGAAGATGGAACTGGTCATATCAATCTCTTCCCGTCTGAAACAGGACGCGCACCAGTGGAGAAGAATGCTGAGGCAGAGACAGAAGCAACCGAGAAGAAGCGCAGATATGAAGAGCAGTACACGATGCGTCCCTCCAATGCTGCAGGGTTCAGTCAGTCTGTTGGCAAGGCGCCTTGGTATTCGTCTTCAGGGAGGGAAGCCCCTGCGCCAGAGTCTATGCCTGGAAAAGACGTTTGGGGAAATGAAGATCCCATGTGGAAACAAAGGGAGATGACTCGGATGGATGCAAATGATCCTCTAGCGGCGATGAGGAAAGGTGTCAAACAGTTGAGGATGGTAGAACAAGAGCGCAACAGATGGAACGAGGAAAGAAGACGAGAATTGGAGGCTTTGAAAGCAGAAGGCAGAGAACAGTCACGTCGGCACAGACGGGGCCGATCACCATCCAGAGGATCTATCTCGGAGAATAGTTTGGAGGGGTTCAAACTCAATGCACCTCCAGACAGACAGCGGGATGGCAAAGACCAAGAAAAGAGTTCGTATCGATATCATCGGCGTCACCGGCATCGGCGTCGCCATGATAGGAGCCGTGATCGCTCACGGCGGCACCATTCTCACTCGCATTCGCATTCACATTCACATTTACATTCACGTTCTCGCTCTCGTTCACGTCATCATCGTCAAGATCACCATGAAAACAGGAATGATGACCGGAGGTCATCTCGCAGACCGTAGAACAAACGTTGTGGTCGTACTACGAATATTTAATCATGAGAGGACCTTTTAACATTTGATTCCTACTATTTCAAGGGCGTATGTGGGGTAGCATGAAGAGAGAAGAGCAAAACTTTTAATAACCTTCATAAATCATTTCAAGCTCCATTGCTGGGATCCCTTACCACCCTCCTGCGCGTCCCAGTCGATAGCAATGTCCAGCGTGCGCGCATTCGGTTCTCTCTTCTGATAACCAACCTTGCCGGTGATGGTTTGGCCCTTCTTTAATGGCACGCCACCCTTCCGGCCGTGGTCGATGAGCAGAACACCCTGCTGCCAGTGAGTCTCGGTACCATGTGGTCCTGTAGTGAAGGCAACGTAGCCTTTCTTCTGCATTTCCGAGGGAACAGCATCGTCTGGGACCGTGAAATTTCTTGAAGGCATGAAAAATATATCGAACCAAATGGACCAGCCGTCAAGCGTGTCAATATCTTCCTTAAGAGTAACCTGAAAATCTTTCAAGAATGAAAGCTCCTCAACGGTGATGGTATGCAATGGAAGCTTTAGGAATACTGATGAGTCACCGGGAAGTGCGGACGGTTCAATGCTGCGGACGTTTGCCTCGTCATAGATGCCGGTGAGCATGCTCTTCATATTGAAGCCGTACACCGAGTGCCAGAAGGAGATATGCGAGGCAATGAAATCAGAGTCAGCAAACGGAGCAATGCGGATAGTAGCGTCGGAGGGGACCATCAGTCCTTCGGGTGCGAGATAGCGGTCCCTGGCGTAGATGACGGAATCAAACATGGCTTCGAAAAGCAGGCAGTATCCCATCCATTCGGACACGATTATGTCAACCTGCTGCACGGGGAGAGTAACTTCTTCGATTTTGCCGCGGATGCACCTGAAGATTAGCAAATCAGCAAGAGAAGTCAAGATAGTATAGTTATTGCCTAGGAAACATACGTGATCACATCACCAAAGCCATTCTCATAAACAATTTCTCTGGCCCGGTCGATGATGTTTGAATTGTCGACAGCAATAACCTTTTTGGCACCTGCCTTGGCACAAAACATGGAGAGAATACCTGTGCCACATCCGACATCCAGCACAACTTTGTCCTGGAAAAGGCGCTTGTTGTCGTAGATGAAATCACGATAGGAATCAGTACGGATAGCGTCTTTGAGCATGGACTCGTGGATGCCTATAGGGTTTGTTAGCCAAAGAGATCCCAGCAAAATACACCCTCCGGTAACGTAAAATAATAAATTACCATTATACTGGTACGACACGAAGTAATCTGAATCCACCTCCTCAATCTTGTTCTTGGTCCTCGCCGATGGGCCAGCGGATGATAATTTATCATCATCCTGAGTCAATTGTTCCTCCATCGACCGTTGGACAGCCAATCTGTATTCGGTGAATTGAGTCTGGAGACGCTCAAGATCTTCCTGTAACTCGACCACACGGCGTTCAGCTTCGTTGTCGCCGGGTGCCCCAGACTCATTCTCCTCCGCAATATCACCTAAGCTGTATAAGAGAGCATCGTCTTCCAACACGGGCTTCATGTAGGCATCATCATCGAACTTGTCCTTGGAAGATACGTCTGGTGTCGTGTTCCCCGCTTTGACCTGAGATCGAATATAGTTGACGAGTTTGATCAGACCAATGAAGTCCAAGTCTAGCAGAGCAGGCGCAAAAAGTTAGCTGGGCCACATCTTCCGCTATAGGTCGAACTAATACAAGGTACAGAGTATTCCAAACGTCAATTGCTTAGCGCAAAGCAGGGCACGGAAGACAATATATGATCAAACTGCCCAAGGAATAAAAATATGATTTGCGAATCGAGTACACACCAAGCTCCTTCTGGATCTTCCGCAGATCGAAATCGTGCTTGTCCTTGCTCTCCTGCAGCATCGCATTCACATCAGGGTAGATCTTGTCGGAGAACAAGCCTACAATGGGCTGTGATTCTTCCTGATCGGGCTCAAGGTCCTCCCAGCCTTCTTCGTCGGTGACGTCTGAGTCCTCTGCTGAGGTTGTCGAACGAGTGTCTTCGTCCTTCGGAGGACGCTCGGAGGTCGGAAAGGTGGACATTGCGCAGGCAGTCTCGTTTCTCTTCTTGCTCTTTTGTTTCTGTATTTTGCGCTATCCGGATAATGAAACAATAATTGAAACAATTGAGACGAGCACGGTATGTAGGGAAGGAGAAAGACAGTTTCTTCGTCTATCAATCGGGGATAAAAAGTGGGCGGCGTGGAGGGCAGTGATAAGAAAAAAAAATTTTTATTGCCTTAATAGTGCCTTAATATGCCTGAGGCACAAATATCTTGTTGCCCCGCTGTTTGTTTATTCACATGACACTGACCCGGAACTTGAAGCGATAACAGCATATCATTATCGTCCAGGCTCATACTTATCACCGGCATCCAGTCTGTGGTTGTCTATATCCAGAGCGAAAGGAGGGAATCGAATTGCTCCCTGGTCTAAAGTTGGACACTACAAAGCACCGAGAATCGCATGGGATCAATTGCTGCTATCTCAATTGCCCTAGATCTCTACTGACCGGGTCCCCCCTCATCTTTATCCTTCCATCCTTGTTCCATTTCGGCTGTCTTTTCTTACAATATAATACTATCCAGATCTAGCAGACATGGCTTTCTTATTCAACCGTGGCCGACGTCAGCCACTGGAAGTAGTGCGGTCCATCAAGGACTTGCTGGAAAAGCTGCGCGAAACCCCCAACACTCCGAAGGTCTGCCCTTGTGCAAACCCTGGAATGCTTGAAGCTGGCTTTCTGGAGGAAACTGCTAACTTCTGCAGATTGAAGAGGAGCTGGCGAGGCAGTTGTCCCAGATGAAGCTGATGATTCAAGGCACTCAAGGTCCGTTGCTCTCCCTAGCATCCCGCAATATAATCCGTTCACACACTGAAGCAATCTTGCATTTACAGAGATCGATACATCCCCCGAGCAGGTACAGGGATTAGTCGGGGCAATGGTTCACGAAGATTTACTCCACGAGCTAGCTCATAACATCTACATGCTTCCTTTCGAAGCTCGAAAAGATACTCAGACAATATTCTCCCACGTCCTCCGCTTCAGACCGGCGCATGCCGCACACGGCGACCCTCCTGTTATTTCATATATCGTTCACCATCGACCAGAGATTATAGTGGAGCTTTGCCGCGGATACAACTACAGCCAGAGTGCAATGCCATGTGGTACCATCTTACGTGAGGCGCTCAAGTTCGACGTGATTGCTGCGATTATTCTTTACGACCAGTCGACAGTTGATGAGCCCGCGATCCGACTCACAAACGTGCGACCAGGTAACCCTCAAAATGGAAATGGTGTGTTCTGGCAATTCTTCGGGTGGATCGACCGGGGAAGCTTTGAAGTCAGCGCAGACGCGTTCACGACATTCAGGGTAAGAATACCATTCCAACCAATTTCTGGCCCAGGATCATTGACTAACAGAAACTATTTAGGAGACTTTGACTCGACACAAGTCGGTGGTGACCGGATACCTGGCGGCCAACTTCGATCTATTCTTTTCGAAATTCAACAATATCCTCATGCAGTCCGAGTCATATGTGACCAAGCGACAGAGCATCAAGCTCCTTGGGGAGCTTTTACTAGACCGCGCCAACTACAATGTGATGATGGCATATGTCGAGAGCGGGGAGAACCTCAAATTGTGCATGAAACTGTTGCGCGACGACCGAAAGATGGTTCAATACGAAGGATTCCATGTATTCAAGGTATGTATCTAAAATTCTTTCGATAACGTTGCGATAGTTGGTATGCGCTAACCAAAAAATGTGATTTGGTAGGTCTTTGTCGCAAATCCGAACAAATCGGTGGCCGTGCAGCGGATTCTGATCAACAACCGGGATCGCCTGTTGAAATTCCTCCCCAGATTCCTTGAAGATCGTACCGATGACGACCAATTCACCGACGAGAAGAGCTTCTTGGTGCGCCAGATCGAGCTGTTGCCCAAGGAGCCCATCGAACCGACCCAATCGGCCTATGACGGCGTACGAACCACGACTGCCGTGGCCTAAACTTCCCTATTTCTATTCGAGCCATTTTCTTCTCTTTCTTCTATATTTTCCTTGGTACAGCGGGTTGGTTAAACTGTGCCTTTTTCTTGCATTGCAGGCGTGCTGGCATACGACTACGGAGTTATAAACAGGAATGTGTGTGTGTGTGTGTGTGTGTGTGTGTGTAAATTGGAGGGACTTACTGTGGATATGGACCAGACAAATAAGTCTGAAAAAGAAAAAACTCTTCAACGGCCAACTGAATAGACGCTAGTCTTCATTGAAAATCAAGGCATTTTGTTCCTGGCAGTACACCAGGGGTAAATCTCCGTGACGGGCCATCAACGCTCAACGGAAAGACTCCATTTTATGGTTCAGTAGCAGGTTTTTATTCTCCCGCCGGTCTGGGCCCGGGGAAATTCTGGTTCTGGTGGATTTCATCATAATAAAACGTGCTAATAAAATGCATTGTGGACAGCCCTGTTAATATTATTGCCATTGTTATTGCCTGCTCGTTTCAAGCCGTTGTGCTAACTTGCACTAGGTGTTACAAGGGAGCCTCAACTCCTGCTGAAAAAGAGGACAATCTCAATTGTTTTCTCACTTGATTTCCTTTGTCTGTTGGTTTATTTATTTGCTTTGTATTCAGTATTCTCCAGTAGGAATGGCAATAAAGATCACATAGAAGTCATATATAGTTCTATTTATATAAGGTCCACTGACCCGTGTGGACACAATGCCCCTTCGCGATCCCTGCGTGTGGGAAACAGAAGAGGCAATACAATTGAAATCATAAAGGCAAAAAAAAAAAAAAAAAAAAAACAAGAAGACCAGAGGTATAAGTGAAGTCCTCGTGCCTTCTTTCTATCCCATCTGTTATCTGTTCACATGTGTTTCTTGTCCGTTTGATCATCTGGCATAATAGTCATCTTCATACTAGTTACATACACTAGTCCATACAACTACCCCAACCTCCGTGATGCCCATTTCTCGACCTTACCAACTCCTCTCAATTTACGGCGGCTCGCTCTAATCGATCGATTCCTGTTATATTATCCTATATTATACATATTAATTGTCCTTTCTTCCGTCCTTCTCGCGTGGTTCCCTTGCGCCGACTCCTGCTCTCGAAATTCCTGACTGTTCTATCCCCGCCTCCCTATAACGTCGCCCCCCTTCGATCTCTCAGTCGCCTTCTCCCTCCCAGCCACTAATCCAGTGAAGGAAAAAGCGCGAGAAGAAGGCAAAAAGGAATACTTACAAGTCATGCCAAAAGGTTATGGATGAGAGACCTACTTCATTTCCTGCGGACGTGATGCCATCTACTACTACGACGGCTACTACTGCTAGCACGGGCTCGACTCTCCACGCCATCCCCTACGAAGATACAACGATCAGATCCGACTCCCTATCGACCCCCGGCGCTTCTTCCGTCGATTCCGATTCCAGATCCCGATCCATCAGCACCACCGGTTCGTCATCTGCAGGCGGTGCTACTGGCCCTGGCGGCGCGGGCGACCAGCCACGGGCCTCCCCGACTTCGTCGCATGGAAATAAGCTCACAGAAACAGGGCTGGCAGCAAAGGATAACAGGACAATCCGGTCGGAGGGAGACAATTCGGGTCTCAGCCTGCGCAGTATCCCTAGCATTATTGTCAACGATGCTGCCAGTCTCCGCCCAAGTTCGCGTCCTGGCTCTCGCCCCGGTTCTCGCCCCGGCTCGCGCTGGTCGGAGCGCAAATGGGGCGGTTTAAGGACTAGGAGGTCCGCGGAACTCGATAGACCAACGTATACTGTTTGTCCTCCGTCGCCTCCGCCCCCCGTGCCTCAAATGGATCCTCAATTCAGCGGTATCTCGCTCGATATTCCCACCCCGTCGTTGGACGGCCTTGGGCCGCAGGCAATGCAGTTCTCGAAACGTGGAAGTCTTATCAAGAGTCCATCACAACAAACATCAGGAGAAGCGCAGTCGCAACCCGAACCGCAACTGCAACCGCAACCGCAACAACAACAACAGCCGCCGCCGCCACAACAGCAAGAACAGCCGCAGGATGAGGTGTCGGAACCGCCACAAGACGATTCACAAGAGCAGCAGAAACCAGCTGAACAGCCAAAAGAAGCTGAGCAGCCTGAATTGCAAGAGCAACAAGATAAACAACCGGAAATCACCCCAATTTCGCCTGCCTCCTCTGCGGACGACCAAAGTGATATACAACAGCCCCAATTCCATGGTGCTCGGCCAAGATTGTTGAAGCCATCGGCTTCGCTTCGTGTTAGGCGCCAAATAAGCATCCCATCCCGAGCGATTTCTGCGGACGAAGACATGCTGTCACGGCGTGTCAGACTGATGTACGAAAAGGGTGAGGAAAATGTGAGTGATTCGGAGGTGGCCGACTCAATGGCTATGGAGAATGGTGTCCTGTGGGAAGAAGCAGCGGAAACGTCTGCTTCTGACGCTCCGAGTGGTGCTGGGACCAGACGAATGTCGACTGTGAAGCCCGATCGAAAGTCTATGCTCAAGAAGGAAACCAATGAGTTGGCAGGTGGTATCGAGTACTGGCAAAACATCGGAGCAGGCGATGTCGATAGGTACGGTTTCATCCGTCATCCCCAGAAGAGCTCCGGCGAGACTACGGAACAGCCCAACCCGATCCAACGAGTCGCTACGAGTCTGCTTCTTTCGTCTGAGACACCCCGGCGAAAACACTCTATTCGACCTCCGTCGGCCCTGGCAAGCAACCGCTCCTTCACCGGACGTTCACCTACACGCAAGTTCTCTGAACCTTCGATCCGTCCATCCTCATCCCAGAGTACATACAGTTCGCCAATGCGACGGTCGACGTCGCGATTTCGCCACGCTGCGAACCACCTTCCGCACAATCGCGATCGCCGGTTCACAGACGAGGCAGCCGACATGCTCACGCTGCCTGTGGAGGCAGTTGACTCTGCAAACGGAATTGATTCAGCCGCGGCGCGCGCCATGAGGAAGAAAGAGTGGGAGCGGGAGGACAAGTGGGCCAAGATGGCTCGGCCGTCCAAGAAGAACAAGGACGGTGGCGGCATGAAGTTCGAGTTTGACACCCAGAGTTCGAAACTCATCGAACGCACCTGGAAGGGTATTCCTGATCGATGGCGCTCAACGGCATGGTACTCATTCCTTGAGGCAAGTGCCAGAAAGCGCAGCGACAGTCCCAGTGAAACGGAGTTGATGGAAGCATATCATGAGTTCCAGTATGTCTCATCGCCGGACGATGTGCAGATCGATATCGATGTGCCACGTACCATCACCAGCCATATCATGTTCCGCAGACGCTATCGTGGTGGACAGCGGTTGTTGTTCCGTGTTCTGCACTCCATGTCGTTATATTTTCCGGATACCGGTTATGTTCAAGGCATGGCAGCCTTGGCTGCAACACTCCTTGCGTATTATGATGAAGAGCATACTTTTATCATGCTTGTCCGTCTTTGGCAGTTACGAGGCCTAGAACGTCTGTACGAACATGGCTTTTCTGGTCTAATGGAGGCCCTTGGTGATTTTGAACGAGAGTGGTTGGGGGGTGGTGAGGTTGCTAACAAGCTAAACGAAGTTGGTATCCCGCCAACGGCCTACGGCACCCGCTGGTATCTAACATTATTTAACTACTCGATTCCCTTCCCGGCCCAACTCCGGGTCTGGGACGTTTTCATGCTCCTTGGCGATGCAGACCTGACACCATCACATTCGGTCCTCCCGCTCAAAGGGTCCAAACAACCTCAAACGAGCACATTTGGCAAAGGACTAGATGTTCTTCATGCTACTTCTGCGGCCCTCATTGACGGCATGCGCGATATCATCCTCGAATCGGACTTTGAGAATTCCATGAAGGTTCTCACCAGTTGGGTTCCGATCAAGGATATCGAGCTGTTTATGCGAGTCGCCAAAGCGGAATGGAAAGTCCATCATCGAAAAAAGTTTTCATGATTTATCAATCAGCGGTTTTGCTTTTGCCTCTGTTGTCATTCGTTGCTGGTGCAGCGAGACAACCTTTACGCCTAATAATTACTCTTCTTTTGCCTCTGCACACAGGATACGCATGCAACCGAATGATATCTTGACGATTTCGATCCGAACCGAAAAGGAAAGGAGGTCCTAATCCTAATTCTCATGAATACCCCGACTTATATATACCTCTTGTTTACGCTTTTCATATCATGATTTCTTGGTATCGGTGCTGGTCCGGAAGGGCACTTGAAAGCTTCCTATAGGAAATACGATTTTAATACTGGCCTCTGCCTCTGCCTCTGCCTCTGCTCTATTTTCTTATAATCAAGTTTCAAATTGCCGAATAAGGAATTTGAAACGGTTTCTGAGAAATTATTTTGCTCTCTTTTTGCCTTTCCATGGGAAATAGCTTGATTTGACATGAGCCTGAATACTACTGCTTCCGGACCGGACTTTGAACGGATTAAATCCTTTGTATAATTTCCTCTCCTTGGAAAGAGGAGGAGTGATTAATATATTCCCGTTATCCATACTCATTTACTTGTTTGTTAACTTGCGTACCAAAACTGCTTATTCTAAACGTCCACTCTCTTACTCTGTCTATCCTTGTCCGTTTGCTCTCCTTTGTCATTGCTCTCCTAATTTGTCCGGTCATTCAAACTGCCAATCCTTTTGCCTATATTGCTATCCGTTCTCTTCTCGTGTCTATTTCAATTTCTTGTTCCATTTAATTCATGTCTCATCTACTGGTCGGTATACCACGATATACTACATTACTCTCCTTGCCGCTTATATCTAATATTGTTTTCGTTTTTGTTTTTCTTACACGCTTCCCCTGTGGTTTCCCCTAAACACATAGTTTACTACTCCCTATATTACTATTACATGCGCTGCCTACGTGGCATTCAATGAAAGATTCAAATACAAACCCTCGCCTCAAGACGTTACCACACCTAAAACCTCCACCGCTGATATACAGGGGTCAGGACTTTGTACACTGGAGCAGATGTGCATTTGCATGGGTATCTGCATCGTCTTATTACATATGGAATATACTCTAAAAACGAAAAACGCAACATATCTGCACTGCCCAGCAGCAAGAAGCTCTCACTCTTCAACCCCTGTTTATATCCCGGAACCTCATCCCCTCCCGTAGCTCCCCTGGAAACCTCCGCCCATCCATCCCAGAGTTCCCCCCAACAACATGCCTCCGCAGCGGGGGTTAGGTATCGTTCCCTGAATGTCTTGACGTTATTGGTGGCAATACGTTCTGTTTTTCTGAGGATTGTAGAAGTGGGACCATTGCTTCTGGGAGGTCAGAGAAATCTCGTTCAACTTCTACGTAATTCTAGTGTGGTCCTGAGGACACGAGATAGTGGTGGTGCTGGATATATTGGAGCTTATGGGCGATGATGACAGAGCAACATGCTTGGCGATATTTAAGGGATGCTGAAGTATGCGCGACCTGTATATCAACTTCAGTCATACTATCCAAGAAATGGGAGGAAAGGGGAAGGAGTGTACTCTCGACATGCGCAATAAACATATACCGACAATGATCCTCCATGGAAAGAAAATTCACCTTCTTGCTCCAATTAAACTCCTTCACATCGCCCCATTTCTCGCTCCGCGCAGCATCCAACAATGCATGACGCAACTTGGGCGCGAAGCTTAGTTTACCCCGCCAGACTAATTTTTCTTTTTTTCCTTCTCGTAAAATGGCACATTAGACTCAATAGCTAGCACTTTATCCACATCTTGCGTATAGTAAGGTTCGATATCGTTGCTTAAGTGGCCCCAAGACCAGAATCCGAAGTCCGGTATTAGCCATACGGATTCCTCGGTTGCCTTTCTGGAGTACACCCATACTGGATGCCCATTAGCATTTACATCGTCCACTCGATCCTCAACGGAGAGAATGAACTCGATATTGGGTATTGCGGAGCGGTTTGGCGTGGCGGATAAAACACGGTACATGGCAGATAGTGTCGCGGCAATTTTGCGTCTGTGGTCTTCTCCTTTGGCGTGCGCAGCGATAATGTAGAGCTCTCCATTGCGGATCCTGGCTCGGGCCATGCCGTCCTTTAGAGGTGTTATGTTGAGGTCGCGGCTGGCTATGCCCGTTCGTTTCGTCCAATATTCAACGCCCCGGTGGATATCCTCGTAGAGACCTGGGAAGAAGGCATTGCAATGGTATTTGTCTAGGCTCAGGTTGTGGGCGTCGCGGTGGTAGTCGTATGCCTGTGTTTATGAGGTGTTTTCTGAGGAATCTGACACGGTAAGACATGAGAGGCAGTCTGAGCGTTGAAATGAGGTGGATGTTTTGCAGGTACAATGACCCGTGAGGATCAACTGGGTAAGTAAGGGTGCACATTATCGCGGTCCGAATTCATCCCAAACCATATCAAAGATACAAACACAGCAAATACAACCATCAATGACGCCAGCCATACTCGCCGTTGAGACCATGGACTATTTGGTCCCATATCGAGGGCAAAGCATCCAACAGCCCCGAAAGTGGGATACGGGAGTAGCCCAGAACCCAGGGTCTCCAGTCTTATCTACCCAATTCCTCGACCCTTTCTTGACCCATATTCAAATGCCGCAGTGAATCCTAGCCACCAAACAAGCGGACTCGCTTAGGGTTTTTACGGAGAGGATCGACCGCTAAGTCTTCCCGTGCTGGATCTTGGCATGATTGGCGAATCTTGATTGCCAGCGGAGGAACCCGAGGTATCCACTGAGTCCACGCGACTCTTTTCCTTTTTCGTACAGTTTCCTAAATGGGCAGTTTTACTATCGGATTGAGAGGCAATTTATTCAGGCCTTATAGATATGGTTTTATCATAGAAGAAGCTACCGTTGATAATCTATATTTCTTAGATCAGACTGCTTTGTACTCTCGATAGCACGCAGCGATAGTGTATTGTATTGGGTTCAGACCCTCTCCTCTATCTTTGTCCTTTGAATCTTGATTGCCATCTCACGTCCCCAAATTTGACATTATCGAATAAAGTGCCGTTGAAATATATGGTCGTGTCTTCCTATGTTGTTCGTGCAATTATGCTCCTTGGATTCCCAGATTCCGTTTTCGTAGACTCTGGTACGATTTAGGTCAAAAATACGTCTTATTAAGTTATGAGTCCTTTATTGATATATCAGTCTGCTTCTGGACGTAGTTCCAGCCTCAGCTGCTCATAGTCTTGATTGTGCAGAGAAAACCTAGTGTAAATGGAGCATAATCTAGACGCTACGCAAGATCTAGATTCATGGCATAATATGATAGTTACCTACATGTCAGACATCTGAATTATATTACAAATCACTTTAATGTAACATAAGTCGGTCTAAATATCTGTTTCCACCTGCGTGGTTTCATCCTAGTTTTTCTTCGTCTAACAATCCTCATCATGATTTCATCACGCCAATACGCTCCGTGCTAACCTTAGCATGTTTATACTATCCACTTGGGAGCTCGAACTGGCCGAGGGAATACAGCACCTTGAGCTTGAATCTCGGAGTAACCCAAGCCTATAGAGAAATGTGATACACGCCTTAGCTTGTCTAGCCTATCCTAGTGGGTCGAGCCGGCCGAAGTAATACAGCATATTGACTAAAGAAAACTGAACCTCCACAAAAGCCTGAACATATGAATAGGCGTGAGCCTATGCAGCAATTTGAGGCTAAACAGCAACGTGATACTACAGAGCTACCCGCGCGTTTAACATTATTCGATCTTCCAGTCGAACTCCTGGTCCATATTTTCTCTCATCTGCCATTGCACAGAAAATCCTATTTTGCCTTGAGCACGGTGTCTCTATCAGATTGCTAGTGGTTGAAGCTGGCAATTTGAAGTGGCTCCCTCGATGGTCTCCAAGTGGCATATGGATATATATTGGTCCAAGAAGTGCCATAAACAAATAAGTTGTCTGGTTTACTTTGAGACTAACTGATGCGCATACTGCGCTGATTGTCAGAGATTGCATCCACGAGAAGAGTTTACTAAGTATGGCCTAACAAGCATCCCCTCAACAAAAAGGTCATGCGAATATCAATGGGCTGGGCTAATCAATATATGCCCGTGTATTATGCTAACGCTACGCAGTCGAAAGCAGATTTCGGAATACCTTATGAGTGGCGGCTAGGGAAGAGATGTAAATCTTGTCTTGCGGGGTCTTTTGGAGGGATTACGCAATGAAAGAGACGAAGAAATCCTCTTACGCAAATACAAAGCCTACCCAACAGCCATGGTTAATGCTACATTTTCTCTTATCAATAATAATGCATTGGTTGTCAACACTCGATTTGAAGTGCCCTCTGCTGTTCTTAGTCTGAAATAGCAGTCTCGGGGATGCATATATGTCTGTTGTGATCAAGACTTATGAAAGCGGATACGTGAATTGAGAGGTGACCACGATTTTGACCTCACGGTAAATGGTCTTGCAGTGCACACGTGGTCAAACAGGACAATCCAGAGTCGGCTGTTGTGACTGCTACATGCGAGTCAGGGAGAAGAATTTGGCCCTCGCCTGCCAAATATTCTGGTTCCTTTTATCTTTGGAATTAAAGTTATAGCAAAGAGCGTATGGCTTTACAGAGTAGGAACTGCAATGTATACTATTTTCTTTTCTTTTCACAACCGTAGGCGCACCCGAGCACAAATAGTTCAAGAAGATGTGGGCAGGTGTTGCAAAAGAAACAACCCACAATGTGGGTGGTCAGAACCGCGGCCATTCATCTTGGGCCCTTGCCACATTGTCGACAGTAATTGTCAATCGAGGCTAATATATGGAAAGAACGATGTTCCAAATGGTGTAGAAAGGAACAACGTTACAATCTAGGAGGGACAACCCTCCATTTTGTGCAGCGAAAAACAGCCTTCCAAGTGGCATGGAAAGTAACATAAGCAAACGGGACAGAATCACGGATGTTGGAGTGAAAGGTAATTGAAAAATAAATTTGTGAAGACCAGGGGAAAGCGACAAGATACAGGAGAATAAGACTCGATTCAGCATATATATAAATATAATGTATTCACTCTCATGCTCTGGCTTTGATAAATTGGCGTGGAACCTATACTCCGGGCCATTTTTTTAGCTGGGATACGTATATTCCAAAGAAAGAAGGCATGCGAAGAAATCTCATTTCCCTAGCACTCCTCCGGCAACATGGCCTCGAAGGCTGGTTCAAAGTGCAGCATGGCTGTTCCATTCTTTTTGCAGATCATTCAATGCGTCTTTCTTTCTTCCCATACAGCTCCTTATTGAGATCCCTGTTCGTAGCCATGATGGAATTGATGTCTTTGGCCAACCGGTCTTTCTCGGTGCAGGCCGTCTCCAGCTGTTCCTGGGTGGCGGCCGCCGCAGCAATGCGGCCATGAGGCCTAAGCCAAGCTGCCATGTGCCTCAATCCGTTAAACTTAGACCTTACCTGTTTTTTGATAACTATAATCTATCAATCGCTGGCTGCGACTACCTAGTTGAACTTGCCGAGAAAGCGTGCCTAACGGCAGCCACAGATACTTGGCCTTCAGCCATTCCCAAATGGACGGCTCAAATCCCACAGAAAAGATTCTCTCAATGATGTAATATGGGGTCTCTTTGAGTGCAACTTCGTTGCGGTCCGGACATGCCATGGGGAGTATGCCGGGTAAAGGAACGTGTTAAAGCCAGAAGTTTCGAGCTGGCTGCAGCCCACGGACTGAAGAAACGGAGAAATAGGTCACTAAATTCGATCATTTTGGGGAAAATGCCAGTTGTGTGCCATGGATTTACACAAGCCATTTCATTTCCTCGCTTATACCTGGCTGATCTAGTCAGCCCGTGGTCATAATCAAAGTTTAGTAAACAGTAAATTCCTGTGTTTCCCAGATCAAGGTTGTAGATGATCTATGTCGACGTCAGTTACCTGTGGAAGGTTGGACTGAAAGAGGGATAAAAATGAAGAGGTAAAGCAGTGAATGGGAAGGACGTGGGGAGGAGGAAAGACGGGCAATTTCCAGGATAGGACCGAGTATAAGGACAACGGCAATGGGGATTGTACAGCTGGATGCTCAGTAATTTCATCAAAATAAAATTAAAAAATCTACAGCATCATACTGAGCCACATTTTGGTGTGTTAATTGCAACTGTCCGCCATGGTATTTCGACCGTTTAAAAAAGGGGGAAAGAGAGCGATGTTAACGACTATGAAGTGAAATACACGTCGAGTTATGAAGTAAGAATCAATGGCTTGAATACGGACACTGTACTGGTCACTGTATTTTCATTTAACGGTGCGAATAGACAATTGGTCTACACGAGCCGCGGGCCAAACCCCTTCCCCCAGATCAATTATCCAACTCTGGAGTGTCCAGAGAGACCACAGATGCACAGCAACGGAGAAAGTCAGAGACAGATATTTCAGTACCACTCCAGCGTACAACCGTGTGACAAATGGGTCGCTGCTACTGACTAGATGCGCCTCGTAAGTACCATATGAGATACGAGTCGTCGCTGTCAATATATAACTGGTAGACGTAGATTAATGAAGCAGTAGCTAGTCCTCAATAGATGGATATAACATCACGTGATAGGCATTGCCCTTGCCGGGTGTTCAGCGCTCTTTGCATCAAAAGTGTCACATCCATGCGACCATCATACTCAGCATGTAAATTTGCAGACATTGAGAAACATTCCATTAGTCCCATTGTACGCTATCACGCACGATTGAACTCTGTCTGGAGCGAGATGAAGGGACCGGTGCCGGCTGGTGCGTGCCTTGGGCCTTCCGTTTCCGACTTGGAGAGCTGTGGTCCTCTGAGACGCTCCGTGAGTGTGTGCGTGATGGTGCCGGCGTGGGCTCTTTTTCCCTATCCGACGGCTTTCCTCCAGAAGATTCCTGGGGTGCTTTTCCACCCGGCGTGTGCTCTTGCGACTTTCCAGACGGCGGCTGTTGCCCTGGCGGGACCCAATGATGGAAATAGATAGAGGTCGATTGACGTGGTCGATACTGATATTCCTTGTTCGCGGTGGATTGAGGTGTCGAGGCGGGTGGTGCTTGTGCATACTGTTGTGTACTGTTGCTAGGAGGGATTGGAGGTTGGGGCAAGGCTGAAGACGAAGGAGGACCACTGGAAGGGAACGAAGATTGCCCGAGAGACTGCCTAACAGGCGAAGAACCTCTGGATATGCTAGGTTGTTGTGATGGTAAAATCTCTCCAGGAGACGGAACTGGCGGTTGTGGATTGTATAGTGTGTTTGGAGGAACGGGATGAGAATGCCGACGCAAGTCTATCGACCCTGAATGCGAGTGTCGGTGCGAAAACGGTGAAGGTTGAGGAAGCGTGGATGTCGGCATATCAGGCCCTGGAGATTGGTGGTAATTGTGATGTGGGTGGTGTTGCTGATGGTGCTGCGGAGGCGGGGGTGCAGAAGGAGCAGGCGGAGGAGGCATCGAGACCACCGCTGGCCCCGGTCCCTGACCCTGTGCCTGTGCCACCGGATGCGACACATACTGCTGCGCTAAATCAATTGCAGCCTGCGGAAGCCCACCTCCACTAATTCCAGCAAAAATCAACGGAACCATGTGCGGTGGTACTCCAGCCTGCAAAGCATCACGCAGCATACTATGCTCAACCACGCGCTGTTCCAACCTCAGCGTCTCCTGTCGCGCCTTTTCCTCCTCCTGTTTCCTTCGATCTTCCTCCGCTCTTGCTTGCAGCCATAATTGCATCGATGGATCTTTGTCTGCGGAGTGCCATTGCGACGACGGTGGGGGAGGAGGGAGCTGTGGTGGCGTGTGTGCAGCTGTCAGCTGCGGGGGTGGTAAGGTTCTAGAAGGCGGTGGAGGTAGACTTCTGCGCGAAGACGAGTCCATGGTGGTAGAGGAAGGGGCCGTGTTCGTAGTGGTGGATGTATGTGTATTCGGGGAAGAAGGAACTGAGGCCTGACGAAACGGGACGGACGAGTCGCGAAACGAGGGGATGGATTGGCGGATAATGGAGTATTCGTGGGAGGAACCTTTGATCCCATTCTGCGCCATATGAGCCGGGACCGGAGGTTTCAAGGTGAGCAGCATGATAGAGACAGATGTAAGCTCCAATGATGTGCTATCAAGTGCTGTCCATGATCAACAAGCAAGAACATCAATGAATTGTCATCAACATCATATGCGGCCAGTCGTCATTGCTATCATCATATCGTTAAAAAGAATGGAAAGAGAAGAAAACAACGCTGGATGCACAATTAGAAGAAACAGAAAAGGACAAAAATAAGAAAATCGAAGCCTAGAAGACAGGACGACGAGGGGATTTCCCAAATGGGAAAGGTCCCAAACAGGAAGGGTTTAAGCGCCGCTTACCAAATATGGACAAGTATCCACTACCAACTAACCGCATCAGGAACACCGCTAAGCGCAGACAGGAAGCCAGGAACGATTTCCCACACAGCATTCAAATTAACGCAGTAGAATCATGGCTGCACTGCGTGTTAAGATAACACCCTCGCACTCTATGTCCTTACTGAGTCCCCCAGCCAAAAAAAAAAAAAAAAAAAAAAAAAAAAAAAAAAAAAAAAAAAAAAAGGAGAAAACCAAAAAGGAAATACCGAAATTCTCCCGACAAGTAGAAACATCGGTGGACCAGCCCCAAAACACCCATTGCGTGGACCAACGCCTAGAGCTGACGACGAGAGTGGATTAGCCTCGCTAATAAGATAAGAATTCCCCCGACCCAAAGTTTATGCACTACTGTAAGCAATTTTTAATATCTTCGGCTCGGACCGATTATTCAGTGAAAGTACGAAAGCACGGAGTGAAATAGACAATGCGGGCAGTTCTCCGTGGTTGCTTGTGTTAGATGCATAATTCGGCCCCACGGCTGCGCGTCCTGGAAATCGTCTGGATTGGGAACTGGCCAGACTCCTAGAAAAAAGGACGAATCATATATGTGCTCAATACGGACAGATCGAGGTCTATCATGATTCATTCGATATTTCCCTACCTTGAAAAGTAGTTAAAAACATTCAAAAAGAAGCAAAGTAAGCAAGATATGCCTTTTGTCGTCCCAAGGTACATACGACGAAATACTCCCAAAGCAACCCCTTTACATGCACATACATACATACAAACTTCCCCGGGTATCACTTGCAGTTAAATTTTTCACCAAGAAATCAAGCTTCCCGATCAAACCGACTCAGCACTTCAGGCGGGACAGAAGGAATATACTTCCTCGCGCGCTCACGATTCGTCCCGCCCCATCCAGCACCATAACTGATCAACATATCCGTGCTGGTAGGAAGCGAAAAGGGAAGTGTCATGGACGGGTCCAAAAACAGCTCAGTGGTGCTGCGGTCATCGAATCGACCCGCTGTCCCTGATCGTACCGAACCCGGTGAGGCCATGCTTCTTGCTGCGGGTGAGCCGTGCCCCTGCAGCGTCTCTTTTGGTGGAGGTGTTTGAGGGCGCGATTGTCCGTCCGTTGCTGTGGGGACCGGCTGTGCTGCAGCGCCTTCGGCAGCTTTAGCTTTGTTCTCTTGAATCTTTTCCTGCTCCCGAAATAGCAGGTCATAATCCCGTTGAAGATCGATGAGGAATCGCATTGCCAGCTTGGTAAGGCCCTTTTCGCCCACTTCCGGTCGATAAGATTTGACCGTGTGAAGGAGTTGTGCCGGTGTCAACTGTTGCAGTTGCAGCAAAGTTGTCACGAGCGATTCGAAATCGTCGCCCAGCGACGAGAAACATTGCAGCCACTGCAGGAGCTGGATCACAGGAGCCAGATGTCGTCGAGCTGCGTCCATTGTGCTTTCGCCAGTACACGTCGTCGACCCGTTCTCATAATGCTCTGGTTGGCGGTTATTAGCCCGCGCCCAGTCCTCCAGTGCTGAGATGTTCATCCGGATCTGCATCGCTTTCGTCCGTGCCAGGTATCGCTTCGTGGTCATGATACGGTTGAAGATCTCCGCGCTGACCCAGTAAAGCAGCTGCGACAGAATCTGCGTAGTGATAACTGAGTGCACATCATATAAATCAAGCACAAACAGCGTCGATGACAAGAGCGACGTGATATTGCGCGGGGAAATCTGGGCCCGCCGCCGCGGTGACGGAGGTCGGAAGCGCTTCTCCGCCGGTTCTGGTGGCTTCGCCTTGGACTTGCCCCGGAAGAGCTTCCACTCGTTCTGGAAATGCACGTCTTCGAGGCCAGGAATTGTTTCGTGGTCCAGCATAGCAGGTTCCAGGACCTTGTTCATCCGACGCTCAGCGTCCCGGATAATCAGGATGAAGATCTCATTGATCAATTCCGCCAGATGCTGCTGGAAATCCACGGTAGCTTCCATCAACCCAGTATCCTTCTTCAGATAGTGAAGTAGCAACGTCGCATTCGACATCCAAAATGCCAGTATTGTCATATCCCACTGGTGGCGCTCCACCACGTCGTTTATCTTCTCGGTAGCCGACACCAGTAGTTGCTCTAGGAGTTCTTCGCTAGCGTGGTAATGGGCATATCGCGCACTGAGGAAAAGTAGGTTGGCGGGGACCGGTTTCTGGGAAGGCGACCGTTGCGGTGTCATGTTGGTTATGATGATATCCAATATCCATTCCAACTCATTATCCTGGAAAACAAACATTTGATCGTGCAAACACTTGTCCCATGCAAACTCTTGTTGATCATCCTCGAGATCCTCGTCGTCGGCAGACTAAAAAGAATATATAAGTTAGCTTAGCAGAACCATAGAATAAAACAAAACAACTCGCCTCGATCTTCTCGTCAAGTCCAAGACTGGACAGGTCAACCTCCAAGTTAATAGCACTCTCTTCCATCATCATGCGCCGTTTCATCCCAATTTCCGCAATCTCCTCTTCAAACCGGCTATGCCCAAATCCAGAATCGTAGAAATCATCATCAACTGCACCTCCAAAATGGTATCCATTCTCATTCAGATACTCGGAGATCTCGCTCCCGGGCTGCGCGAAATCGAAAGCCGTCCCGCCAGACGACGACTTGATATCTGGCGATGCTCCGTGATCTAAAAGAATCTTTGCGATGGTCTTGTGTCGATTCGTCATAGCCCACATCAACGCGCTCCACTGATTGCGATCCTGCTGGTCAATATGCGCGCCGGCACCCAAAAGCTCCGAAACAACATCTTGATGTCCCTGTGATAATTAGCCAAAATAACTGAAACACCCAAACAAAAAAGGGCAAGCATACAAAACAACTGGCGTAAATCAAAGGCACTGTCCCCTCCTCATCCGGCATATTCACATCCACGAACCCCCTAGCCTTCCCATTCAACAACTTCCTCACCCGTTCCACATCCCCATTACTCGCCGCCATATTCAACCCCCGCTGCAGGATATCCTTCTTCTCCGACTCCTTCAGCTTCTCGTCGTCTACGATACTATCCTCGTCCGCGCCTAGAGAGTCGACTTCGCGATGCGCGGCCTGCGCCGCAAGCATCTCCATTAACCGGGCATCGCTGTCTTCGAGGCGTGCGGTATTTTCAACATCCTTGTCGACGTCGATCATGCCGCGGCCGTACTGCGCTTGGATGTTATGTTCGTCGTCGTGCGAGTGGTCGTCCAGGGCGAGGTTGAAGGTTAGGGGTTTTGCGGCCACGGGAGTAGTTAGGAACTGGGACTCGCCTGTTCACACATCTTGATTAGTAAACCACTAAACCAGGGGAATAATAGAAGACACACCCATCCAAGCATCGTACATCTCCGTCTCCTGCGGAAACACTGGTACCGAGCGACGGTCGTCCAACGACTTGGGCAAATCATCCGGTAGCATGGTGGTAAGTGTATGTCTTTTATTCGGGATGCCCAGGTCATCGTCATTATCATTATCGGTATTAAGATTTTTCTCGTTGCGACCGGAGTCTAGCGACGAGGCCGCGCGGGTCTCATCGTCCATCGTGGGCAATGGGCGTGGGTAGGCAGGCGGTAGCGGTGTCGACGTCGGTGGTGGGAGTTATGCAGGAGGGCGGGCACATGCAACTAAGTGTGTTCAACTTTCCGGGGGGATCGCAATATATTGAGGAAATAACATTCCTCCATGAAGGAAAAATCGGAGGGAAAAGAGCGAAAAAAAAAAAAAAAAGAAAAGAAAAGAAAAGAAGAAGTGAATGAGTGTGAGTGTAAGAGTCGGGAGGCAACGAACAGGAGAAGGCAGACGAGAGAAGAGTGGAGGGCGGCCTAACACACTACGTAGGTCAAGAGTGGCAGTTGATGCATTTTTGTATGGGGGAGAGCTCCACTACAAATGAACTTCAAACACGCTCCTGTCAGAGGTACAACTTTTTGTGATATTATACAAGTTAATTGTACACATTTTTGCGCAGTGGCTCATGTACACCATTATCCATTATTTTGTTGTAGATACAGTAGTTATGCTGTTTATTCCCCATCCGTCCCAATCAAGTAATGCAACAAATAGCCCCCCGGATAGCACCAAGTATACTTGGCAAGAAAATGCAGGAAAATTCCACATAGATAGAGTACAGAAAACCACACCATATGCGACAAAAGAAACCCCATACTCGATGCATATGCATGAATCCATCCAAATCCATCCCATCCATCCAATCATCCTAATCCCATATCGTCAACAAGCACCGGAAATGCACATTAGTCAATCAGAGCCGACACAAAGGATAAGAAAAAGCACAATAAAAACAAAGAATAAGAACGAGTGCTGCGCTGAGATGCAATGCAATAATCCAACAAAAAAATCGAAACGAATGCGAGGAATGCAAGAGATGCGACGCGACATAGACATACAACGAACGAAAAATGATAGAGCAACGAGAACAAACGAAAGAAAGAGAGTGAGGGATAAGGCAAGAATAAACAATAAAAAGAGATCAATCAAGGTCCCGACTCCGCATCTGGATTCCCTCCTCATCCAACGACGCAATCCAAAGACACCGTTCAATAACACCCTGCACAGGCTCAAACGCATATTTTGTACTCGCGTCAATCAACCGCAGCAGATTCTTCACAATCCTCGCGGTTGTGCGATGTCTCTCGAAGTTGATCAACGGCTCACCAGCTTGCGTGGTAACTTGCGCGGGCTTCTGCGAGTTGTAATTAAGGTCGTGGATATAGAGACCAACAAAAGGAATGCAGCCCTCCTGCAGATTTGCAGTCTCCATCTCAACACGGAGATCGTGGAAATTGCGGACAGGCTGGATGAGCGCTTCCATGTCTTTCAGTAACCGCTTATCCTCAGGCGAGACGAGTGACCAGGTCTTTTCCAACCGGGCACAATTAATCGACGAAAGCGCGATAGCGATCTGAAGCATGGTAGCGTAATTGCACATCCGCTTCGCATGCACCGCGACATGAATGAACTTGCTGATAGTTTGAACACGTTCATGGATATCCCGGGTGAGGACAATCTCCGAAAGAACCCATTTTACCATCAGATTGAAACGGCCTACCACTAGATCGATGCCGCGGTGGTTTTCGGAAGTCAGGAACTGTACCCAGCTCAGGTTTGTTGAAGAGCCGCTGCTCCAGCGCATTTCGACGAGGTCGCGCCAGTCGATCTCGCTCAGGGCTGCCATCTCCACCAGTGTTAACTGCTGAGCAAGGAGCTGCGATTCACAGGCGAGGATGAAAGGCACGTGGTCCACATCAGGTGCGGCACCGAGCCTTGTTTGTTGTTGACCATGCTCGGATCTCGATAGCACATCCTGTTGCATACCGATGGATCGAGAAGGACCCGGTTCTGGATCCCCCCTGCGGCTGGGAGACGGATCAGGTGTAAGTGGCTGAGCCTGGACAATGACAGGGTCCAACGGCGTGGCCCAAGAAGTAACAGAACGCGGGTTCTGGATAGTCATCGGAGGAGACGGAGGTTGAGCAAGAGGGTGAGGCGGGATCCCATACGACGACCTACTCAGCCTAGCGGAATCCGTAGAAGGACGGCCCTCCAATAGCTCACGGCGATCAATGATATCAAGGGATAATTCAGAAAGCCGAGTCCGATCTCGAGGCGCAAGAGGTCTAGGAATAGGCACTGTTGAGCCCCGAGGAATACGGTTGATACTTTCAGTTCTGTTAACGACGTGCATCGAGGGCCGCGATGAGTCCCAATCAGAGGTATCAGTACGACTGATACGCGGTGTTCCCGCGGGATTAGTAGCAACACGAGTCAGCGCGGGAGGTTTTTTCATCGATTCATCGCTCAGTCCACGCTCGAGCAAGGGTATAGAGGAGAATGACTCTTCCGATTCTGCAACAGAGTCCGAGTAAGGTCGCATTGGACGTATCTTCTCCCGAACTTGCGAATACGTCAAGGGGTCAGCAAGATAAGTAGGCCGTCTCTGAAAGCCATCATCACTGCCGTTCTGTCGTACCACGAGAGGTACATTGCGATGATGAGACGCAGACGAAGACCCCTCCCCCTCAGCCTTCGGAGTCTCAGGCTCATCCCACTTGCCCTCCAACTTCAGCAACGTCGACTCCACGCCTCCGTCATCTTCGTCAGGGATCTGTGCAAACTTGGCAATCGCCGCCTCAAACGAACGCCTTACATCCTGGCTCGAGTTTGTCTGGACAAGGGAGTACCGCGGGTTAGGCGGAATAAGAGTAGTTGGTCGCCTCGATTGCACATCTCGAGCAGAAGCAGCAGTGAGATCGCTCTCAGCAACGGAGATGGCTGATCTTGACCTAAGGTAGGACAATCGGTTTTTGCCGTTCTGCATCTTACGCAGATCACCGCCAGGGCGTCTACGTAAAATTGGGCCTGTAGGCGTCTCCGGTTCATCCTGGAGAACGCTCAAGTCGGCAACTAGCGGGACTGGCTCGCCGTTCGCACTTGTAGCGGGACGACGCCTCGAGATGATACTTTGAAAAGACGCGTACTTCCGGAGGCGAAGCGAGGGTGATGTCCTCTTGCGGAACGATGATGCATGTCCGATGGAAATCGACCTCCGCGAGGCGGACGAGTCAGAATCATTGTAAAATGTCTTGGGCGGCTGTTGCAATGTTCCCGATGGGATGCTGTCGTCGTAAAAGATTCGCAGGGAATATCCATCGTCCCCACGAGTAGACGGGACACGCAAAGAGTTCGTCTTTGGAGTTGCAATACCGTTCCCTGCGTTAAAGAAACCCGGGGAGCGCTCAAAATCAACAATTGGTTCTCCGTTAGCCCCCGTGACCATCGGTATGTCCAAGCCTGTATCATCCACAATAACAATTGATTCACTCCCCATCGTCAACCCGCTTCGTGACCTGGCCTGCGAGCCAATCCTCGATGGAGGTACTTGCAGACGAGGCGTAAAAGCTTCTTGTTGCAACGTATCTTGTTTAGTGTCTTCCTGCTCCGCAATAACTTGACGGTACTGCCTCAACACTTCATCGCAGAGGGTATCGATTCGTGTCAGTTTCTTGGCCTGTGCGCTCGTCTTCCGATCCCGGTAGTAGTCTGATCCGAAAGCCACGTTATTCGGAAGGGTCGACGTCTTCCCTCGCAAGGGTGACCCTGAGTATGCGCGAGTATGTCGTGAGATACTCTGGCTACCATGTTTTGCTCCGTTTATCGCTCTGCGGATGGATCCGATAATGGTCTTGACACCCGATCCTGAGGTTGTTGGTTTGGACGTCCCATCGGTCGTACTTTGACGCTCCAGAGCAGGAGTGACAGAGCCCAACGGGAGTGGCGGTGATGGGGGTGCCATCATGGTCATGTAGGATTCGGCGGGAGGATACAAGGTCCCTCGAATCAAGCCTGCAGGGTCTAGGGCCTCTTGCAAACCGATGCCCCATTGGTCAAGTTTAAGCAATGGCAACGGGGCGCGATCATCCCGAACAGAATCAGAGAAGCTCCCACTGCGCTTGTGGGCATGGTTATAAAATGGACGACGTTTCGAAGAAGCCGCTGCTGACGACTTGGGCGGTTGAGTAGTGTAGGTGTATTTTGCTGGCGACAGAGGTACAGGATGTGGCGCTGTCTTAGGAGGAGGGTTCGAAGGGCGTCTGTGGGATTTGGGTGGGAATGAGCAGGAAGTCGCAAGACAGTGGTCATCACTCTGGACGGTTACCGGGACGCTTTGATTCGTGGTTCCTGAGTGTTTTCGATAATGCTGGGTGGAAGCAGGTTCTTGACCAGCATTCACGTTGACCAGGTAAGCACCATCGTCACCTGTGCTCAAGGCTAATTCAGGCTGGCCGAAGTGTTGAGCGGGTTCACCCTGATCGCCATGTACGGTTTCATTGGAATCCCCCGGAACAACAGGGCTATCCTGGAGGTAATATGCGGACGAGAGTTCCGGCGCATCCCAGAACATGGCGCACTTGCCATGCCAGCAACGCTTAAGATCAATGAGGATCTTCAAGTCGCTTGTTCCACCATTTTCCCGGGATCTAACATCGTTGTATAGCAGGTTGATGATCTCGCAAAAATAAACCCGGAGCTCATAGTCCTCTGTGAAATCGTCGGCGAAATAGTTAAGAATCCAATGGCGGAGCGCCGCAAACGTGCGGATACGAATGATCCGTCCGTCATCTTGCCAGCGGTTGATTGCCCACTGTAGTCGAGCAAGTAAGAGGCGGAGAAGGTGACTGGGAGAAAGGTAGGAACGATAGGTGAGGAAGAAGTCTGAGACGAGCTCATAGTCCATGAAAGACTCTGACGAGATTTGCGCAACAATGCGCGCGGGAGTTGCGGCGCTGAGCTCCCTCGTGCCAGAGATATATCGAACTACTGATTCGTCGTCCATGTCTGAAACTAGGGCTTCGAAGACAGAAGGTTCGATGGGCTCCTTCATCTCGTAGAATATGGGGACTTCCGTCGCCATGGGACCTGGGCTCAATTCTACACCAGTACCGGACAAGATAGAGGAAACGAACGACGGTCTCTCTGGTACCACAGAATCACTCAAGACATTGGACAACGGATGACTATTCAGATTTTCGCCAAGAAGAGGTGATGCGCGAAAGTGGTCCTGGGTCGATCCACACGAGCTCTGCAGGGGTGGGCTTCCAGTGTTATTGAACTGCGGCAGACCCAACCGGTAATTGGGGATGGAAACCTCCAATGTTGGGAAGGCAGAAGGCTCCTCTGCAATGTCGCTCCTCCGTCGATCATCCGGCCTGTCAATGACGATGCGGTGATATTCCCCACGAGGTCTGATGCTCGAGGTAGACTGATGTTCCGAGATAGTGGAGAAGGAATGCGGTCGTTGGCGCTGGCGGTATTCAGATCGTGCTGATTCCGTGACGACCGACTCGCCATCATCGACCACGCTCTCTTCTCGAGTCACGTCCGGCTGTAATTCGGACAACTGTGAGTTGGACCAACGAGCGGAATCATTGGCACCTTGGCCACCACTGTGCGCAGTATTCGGATGTAGGCGCTCAGTCTGCGACGGGTCTGTCGAGGACGAGAAGGGTTGTTGTTGCTGTTGTTGTGCACGAAGTTCTTTTATGGATGGGTTTCGAATCGGTCTAATCCGGCGTAAAATAGTCATGTCAGCTCTTTGCTTTTCTGGCACCGCCTCTTAATTCCTCTCTGCTATACAGAACCACCCTGGTCAAGACAAACAATACCTAAGAAATATTCTCCCGTTCTGACCGACGCTACCCACGGTGAAATGCGATCCACCCCTGCCATTCGCCGGTGCCTCCCGCGGACCACGCTGCGTGAGTGACCGCTTGGGCGACAGGGATTTCTGAAGAAGCTCATGGCTGTCCCTACTACGCAGCTGCGAGACCTCTACGAGTTTCTCGCTGGCCACCGCCGGTGATTCCAAATTGATCTTCGAGATGTTCCCTCCCCCTTGTGCTACTGTGTTCGCGCGACGTAGGTTGGATGTCGCAAAGGGCGACTTTGCTGCGCTACCGGAGGGTTTCACACTGGAACGGAATCCGGCGGGTTGAACGGAGGATGGCGCATGAATATCTGTCGGAGGATCGCGAACTTGGCGCTCCTCCATCGCGGAATGTGTCGTATTCAAGCTTCAACAGAAAATTGTCTGTACAAAAAAAAAAAAAAAAAAAAAAAAAAAAAAAAAAA